CTGGCGGCGAAGAGAGCTTGGAGTCCACAGCTGGCGGCGAAGAGAGCTTGGAGTCCACAGCTGTTGGCGAAGAGACCCCAGAGACCACAGCTGTTGGCAAAGAGACCCCGGAGACCACAGCTGGTGGCGAAGAGACCCCGGAGTCCACAGCTGTTGGTGAAGAGACCCCAGAGACCACAGCTGGCGACGAAGAGGACTTGGGGCTCTGGAGGACTGCAGCGTGCGACGACCATGGAGGCGACCCCTCTGGAGAAGCGGAGAGCGTCAACCCCTCTGGAGAAGCGGAGAGCGTCGACCCCTCTGGAGAAGCGGAGAGCGTCGACCCCTCTGGAGAAGCGGAGAGCGTCGACCCCTCTGGAGAAGCGGAGAGCGTCTACCCCTCTGGAGAAGTGGAGAGCGTCGACCCCTCTGGAGAGTTGGAGAGAACCGCAGATGACGTGGGAACCTGGGGAGCTGCAGCTTGCATCATGGAGTCCAGGGGAGCTGCAGCGGACGACGAAGGGACCTGAGAGTTGGCTACAGGTGACGAGGGGACCTTGTAGTTGGCTGCAGGTGACGAGGGGACCTTGTAGTTGGCTGCAGGTGACGAGGGGACCTGAGGGTTGGCTGCTGCTGACGACGGAGAGACCTAGAGCTCTGCAGCAGACGACGGAGAGACCTGGAGCTCTGTAGCAGACGACGGAGAGACCTGGAGCTCTGCAGCAGACGACGGAGAGACCTGGAGCTCTGCAGCAGACGATGGAGAGACCTGGAGCTCTGCAGCAGACGACGGAGAGACCTGGAGTTCTGCAGCAGACGATGGAGAGACCTGTGGCTCTGCAGCAGACGACGAAGAGGCCTGGAGCTCTGCAGCAGACGACAAAGAGGCCTGTGGCTCTGCAGCAGATGACGGAGAGACCTGGAGCTCTGCAGCAGACGACGGAGATGCCTGGGGCTCTGCAGCAGACGACGGAGAGGCCTGTGGCTCTGCAGCAGACGGCGTGGGAGCCTGGAGAGCTGCAGCGGAGGCAGAAACCGACTCCTCTGCGGTGGCGACAGGAACTGATCTTCTGCGGCGGCGGCGGCGACGGGAAACAGAAACTGATGCCGAGTCCTCTGAGGCGACAGGAGCAGGTGTACCAACGGCGAGGAGCTCAGCAGGAGGAACAGCGGCGAAGTTGATGGGTGCAGGATGGATTTTGGGTTCAGACTGTGTATTAGTGACCTTGGGTGTGATGAGAGACCTTATTTCTATTAATAAACGGTTGTACTCTGGGATCAGAAGGAGGCCTGGCCGTAAAACTAAAAATTCCTCCATCAGGGAAAACAAAACATCTGAGCAGTCCGGGTTATTTTTAGCAGAAGTGAATAAATCTAATAAAGTCTGGGTTATGTATGCAAGATCATGGGATGAATATGTGATTGACGGGCAAGTGTCACTATGTGAAGATGTGGTGTCAGGTGTCGCCCCCACCGGAAACCTGGGAGGTGGGTCGGCGGAACACGCCCCCACAGAGTCACTGGGAGAATGCCCAGGAGGCACGGTCTGACTGGGTTGGACAGCGCAGCACGGTGTGACGGTGGGA